AAATGCAGGATATCTGGTGTATGACGCTAGTGAAAGGGTCCTTCAACCCCAAAGGGTTGTAACCCACATGTTGAGAACCACTGCTAAAGGAACAGAAAGTGGGAATAAAATTTCTTTCAAAATAAGCCAAATGAGCCAGCCTATTTAGGTAGATGTTGACAATGAATACCTGGTAAGTTAAATTTAAAGGCATTTGACCAGCTTCACCTGCAACACCCAGAAGTCTAATATGACAGCTCACTAAAGAATAAAATGATATGAGTGGATAAGGCAATTGAAAAGTAACAGGATAGTTAAATATTTTAAGAAATCTGCCAATCACATCAATGGCAAAGAATACAAAGTTGTAGTATAAGAAATATGTTTAGTGGATTTATTTATTTATAAATACAGTTAATCTTTAGGAAACTTAGATTTTTTTTTCCTTCTAGCTCAGTATGTAAATTTGTTTATTTATTTATTTTCCCTTCCTTCTTTCCTTCCTTCCTTTCTTTTTTCTTTTAACTAAAACTTACAGTGGATGTTTTCTTTAATAGAAAAACAAAAGTTTACACTCATTAATTATAATTTTAGAATAAGACAAGGATAGCATTGTTACTTTTGCCTTTGAACACATTGTGGGAGATCTCACAAGAGAAAAATACATTAATTAAAATGATAACATTTTCATTATTTCTAAGTAAAATTTTATATGGAAATCCAGAGAAACTCTGTGGAGACCATTATTAGCGATGGGGGAACATAGCCTGGTTGCTACACAAACTTACAAAAATCAATAGTTACCAACAATTATGGCAGTAATTTACAGCATTGGTAAAGCCCAAAGGCTGTCTAGGAGAATGCTAAAACAGAATACTTAAAACATAAAGTAGAAATTAAAAACTGTCACCAGAGTTTTATTATAGTGTTAATCAACACAAAAGAAGTGTCCAGAGACGGCTTCATTGAATATTGAGACGATGTGCCATCTCCCCTCCATCAAATTTAAATCCAATGCAGTCAACTTCTGTCCAGGAATTTTTTGAAGGGGTAGTGATATACATAGACTTGACAATCTACAGATTGTGTGCTAAGTCCAGACTGTGAGTTTGCTGTAAGTAAAGTTTTATTAGAACCCAGATACAGCTGTGGCAGCATGTATACTACATGCCAGAGGTGAGCAGTTATGAGATTATGTAGCCACTTGCAACTGTCCCTTATAGAGAATGATTTAGCCACCCCTGTTCTAGAGTATCAGTTGTAGGGTCTGATAGAGTCCAGATTCATTGCTATGTCTGTATGGGCATGTTATCAGGAATGGATATAAGAACATTGGCTCATGAAAGAAGAAAAATGAAACTATTTGATACTTCATGGTTTATTTTTTAAATATTTTTATTTCATGTGCATTGATGTTTTGCCTGCATGTGTGTCTGTGCAAGGGTGTTTTATTCTGGAGTACAGACAATTGTGAGCTGTCATGTCAGGGCTAGGAATTGAACACAGGTCCTCTGGAATAGCAGGCAGTGCTCTTAACCAGGTAGCCATCTCTTCAGCTCCCCATATGTCGTAATTTGAACAAAGCTTTACATGGGACACACACCTAACTGTTAAAAATGAAGATATACAGTTCATAGAGGAAGATGCTGAGACCTTGTGATGTAGGAAGATACGTTCAATAAGAATCTTGGAGAAAAAAAAAGAATCTTGGGCCGGGCGTTGGTGGCGCATGCCTTTAATCCCAGCACTTGGGAGGCAGAGGCAGGCAGATCTCTGTGAGTTCCAGGCCAGCCTGGTCTATAAGAGCTAGTTCCAGGACAGCCTCCAAAGCCACAGAGAAACCCTGTCTCGAAAAACCAAAAAAAAAAAAAAAAAAAAAAAAAGAATCTTGGAGAAAAATATCAAAAAAATAATTATTTTGATTATGACAAAATGAGTGCATTTTGTTCCTTAGGGTAACAAGTATAATTATCATGCTAAATACTCAGACCATTCTGTGAACCCTGGAAAGTGAGGAAATAGAAGAAAGGTGACTTGTAAGAAGGAGGATAAAATATATAAGTCAGCAATTTGTGGAAGGCAAAGTATACATGACACCACAACAGACAAATGAGTTAAAAGGAAGAGATGCCATTTTAATGAGTTATTTTTAGAATTTTATACATGAGTACTGTATTTGTGTGATTTCTGTTCCTCTCTCCTTCCCACTTCAGCTCTTCCTTTGATTCCACCTCCTAATCTTGTTTAGTTATTGTTACACACACATACACACACACACACACACACACACACACACGGTGGGGGGTGTTCATATAAATACAGTCTGATGAGTCCATTTTGTCCTGCTCTTATGTATTTTAGGGCCGACCACTTGCGCTTATGTAACCTATCACTGGGATTATCCCTAGGAACTCTGAGTGTCTCTTTCGCAAAGCAGTTATTTGCCTGTAGCTCTTCATCTAGGGTTAGGTCTTGTGCCATTCCCCCATCCATTGTGGTCCCACTGTTAACTGGTGCAGTCAGTTTTCAGGTCTCATTTAGGAATGGGAGTAGGATAGCTTGGGTAGGCACCAGGGAAAGCTCGTGGATGAGCTGTGCCTGTGATAGCATTTTACCTATCAGTCATGAAAGCAGATAGTGTCAAGTGCTGACCAGGACAGAGGAAAGTATTTGTATGTTGCTCTTGGGAATGCAAACTGGTACATATGTCTTAGAAAAGCTGTGTAAGATTATGACCTGTTCTAAGGCTATATGATTATGGCTATGCATTAGGACAGACATCACAGTGTTTGTGATAAAATCCTGTAGCTAGGTTAACTCTTGAGTAGGAGCAAACAGTACACAAAACCCACAGTGGATTTCTGTGAGAAGAAAGAAGCAGCCCGGAGCTATTTTTAGCTCAGTAGTAGATAAAACAGAATTAAGAAACAGATGAGATTTAAAACAAATAATTCATATAAAAGTAAAATTAAATGATTTTTGAGAACCCTCCATATTTTTTCACATATGGAAGACATGTATACAAATCTATAAAGAAGATAAATACTATTTTAATTGTGCTACAGCAAATCCCTGAGTTATGAGGACATAGGAACATTTGGGGCATAGAGGATGAAAGGGAGAATAAAAGGAAAAGTAAGATCAAAGGAGTACCAATCAGGGACTCAGGATAAGTGTCCATGCTTGAGTCACATTTGTCTAGTTACCCTTAAATGGAAACAGATGTCAGGGATGTTGTTCCTACTAGCATTGTTAAGCAGTTTCTCAGACAATGTCATTGGGTGTGGGCTTGTGTCTGGTTGTGTTTGCTGAGGTCTTACTCCAAAAGACTGATGGTTCAGCTTTAAGACAGGACTTTTCATGGCGTGGTCTGTGATCATCAGCTGAGGGATTTGATCGTCTTTGATTATCTCACCTGGTGCCTCGTGTCCACTCCAAAGCACAAGTGGGCTAGGGGATTATGAATACTTGGGTCAATTCCCAAGACCTGGATTCAACAGCAAGGAGAGCTTACGTTTAGAACATGGTGAAATATAACCATGGAAAGTGCAAGGTAATGCGGCTGGAGCTGTAGGAAATAGGAATTCATAGTCTTGATAGCTTCCCAGAGAGCTTGCCTAAAAAACCACTTGGCTGGACAGTGTTTGAAAGCCTTAATTTTTATGAGATGGTTTAAATATTTTATAACCTAGTATCTCCATCCTTGATGTGAGTCTCCCCCTGAGTCCTGAGCACAGAGTGTGTCAAGTTCAGTTCACTACAGAGAAGGACTTTCATACAGCGCTCACTTTAAACACTTGCCTCATCAAATCATCATGAAGCTACTGGTCTACTTTAAAACAGTTATCCTTTTTTTTTTTCACTTCATCCTTTTTTGCTGATTCTTAATTCATCTTTCATCTCTGTTTTTCTTACAGGTTGCTCTTTGGCCATCTGTTGCCTAGCGAGCTGCTCCTGACTTACAAAAATGTAATGGCCATAGTCACTCAGGAGTCACTCATGTGTAGGAATCACCTAGTTTATTATTCCTGGGTCACAGGTGGGTTTGGTCCACGCTGGCTGCCAAGTGCTCAGTTTCATTTCATTCTCTTTCCCATTGCTGTGACAAAAGGTTTGTTAGAAACAACTTAGAGTAGGAAGGGTTTACTTTGGTTCAAGGTTTCAGAGTTCTAGTTTACAGAAAATCATGGTGCTTGGACTGTTCACCTCATGGCAGCAATGGGAAAGAGAGAGCCACAGAAGGCAGGTATACTCCCCCCTTCAACACACACATCATCTACTTCTGCCAACCAATCACCTTCCTCTAAATTTTTAAGAACTTCCCAAAACACCAGCACCAAGTGCTCAATGTTTTATGTCAAATTCTAGCACTGTCGTGGGGCCTCCCCCAGAAGGAAGACATAAAAAAAAAGATAACATTCCTTACCTGCTCTGTCTCTGGGTCAGCCAGGAACTAGTCTATCTGAAACTCTGTTTTGTTCATTCCTTCCTTTTCTCTCTAATTTTGGCAATTGAATTGTAATAGTTATCAGAGAATGTGTGTTATCTAATTGTAGGCGAGGTCAGACAGTGTTTGTACTTGTGCTAAATTGTTGTTGTACAAACAAAGAGAAAAGCATTTGAAAGAAGCTTTTAAGAATTATGTTTGTACTCAGTACTTTACAATGAATATTTCCATATTAGCAAAGATGACGTGTGCACAAGTAAGTATTCAACAAGCGGGACCTACGGATCTGAGGGGACAACCTGAAGCACCAGAGAATTTAGGCATGAATGGTGGCATTGACATCCATGTTCCAGCTTCTACTTGGCAACCTTGACTGGAATCAAGGTAGCATTGTAGGGAGATGGGAATATTCCAGAACTTACCTGGAGTTCATCTGATGAAAAGGACCAGTTTAAATGGCATCCTCTTTACATCTAAGAATTTTTCATAATGGAATTTGCCTTCTCTAAAGTGGTCCATAAACCAAGTTGCTTGGCCTTTGAATTCTCATTTCCTATATTATTCTCTCTTTCAGATTCCCTGTGAAACCATGTCGTTTAGATTTGGCCAGCATCTCATCAAGCCCTCTGTGGTTTTTCTCAAGACTGAACTGTCCTTTGCCCTGGTGAATAGGAAGCCCGTTGTACCAGGCCGTATCCTTTTCTTGTAAAAGAAGCATCTGAACCTAACCAGCCATGTTAATATAGAGTGAGCCTTGAGTGTCTGTCCACGAAAGGTATGTCCCTCCCTCCCCCGCTGGAGTAACCAGGTAAGATGTTATTCATATTTATTTTGAATCCAGTTGGTGGCACCCGTAATATGCTTGAGCAATGTTGCAGAACTTCTGAGGAGGGTTGCTTAGCAACTGTAGCTTTGGAGGGGAATTTTTGGTTGACCTTTTCACTACCATAGCTGTGTAAATAAATAGGTGTTTCTAAAATTGTCCCAATGAATATCGTAGGCACGTTGAATTCCTTTTATTCGTTGTGAATTTTAATGGAGGGTTAGAAGGTGGATGGTGACTCTGTGAGGTGGAATTAAGGGATTACAGGAGAATTAAAGATGGGCTGTTTCTTTGCTTAATGGAGACTGTTTAATTTATTCCTTTATTTTACTTTACTATATTTTTGATATTGTAAAATAACCACATCATTTCTCTCTTCCCTCCCTCCAAGCCCTCCCATATACCCCTTCTTTTTCTCTTTCAAATTAATGGCCTCATTCTTCATTAATTGTTGTTAGATACATATATATATATTCATGTATATACATATGTATTCTTCAACTATAACCTACTCAGTCTATGTAATGTTTCTCATATGTATATTTCCGGGGCTTATGATTTGATATTGTATAACCAATTGGAGTGTCTTCCCCGAGGAAGACTGTTTCTCCCACTCTTAGCATTTCTTAATTGCCTATATTTTTTTGTGTAGGGTTAAGGCCTCATGGGATTCCCCCATCCATTTATCATGTCTGTTGGTGTTGTCCTTGTTCCACTCATGTTTGGGCAGTCACCTCGGTGAGAGTTTATGGGTGTAGCTTCTGACACTAATAGGAAACACAATCTAACATGTTATGAATGTTGTGATCTGTGATGGAACTGGAAATGTCATTTTCTCTTGGGAAAAACACTGGTTTATAGACCATTCTCCACTGTGAGTGCTGGATGAGTTATTTTATTTTGTTGGAAGAACTTTCCCTCTACTAAGGAAGTTCAGTAGGAGCTTCATTCTCCTCAGCATTGGAGATGGGGATAGAGGGGACACTCAGAGGAACTCATTCTTTTTTCATGTTGAACATATCCCTTCTGGCTGTGTGCATGTGGATTTTATAGTTTCCACAATGTTTTTCTATTCCTCCTTATTTTATTAAACAGGGGGCAACAAGAAGAGAGCTTCATATTTGAAGATAATAGGTATCTTCCACACTGAACCATGGTTTGTCTTTGAAGTTAATTCTTTAGTATAGTCCTGGATATATAAATATTTCAGGATATTTTTGGAGTACTTTTTTTCAGTGAAAATGTTTGAAGTTCTTGAGAACTTCCTGAACAACTTGCTTTCCTAGCCATATAAGCTTTGCTTGGTTGAAAGGAAAAAAAATTGCATAAAAATAAAATTGTGATTCTGTACTAAACTCTCAGTCCTAAGGCCAAATTTTACCTAATTAAATTTTGCAAAATTATAAAAACAATGAACAGTTAATTTTTAAATAATGTTGGATGAAAATTATTCTTTCTATCATTTAACTTTTTGTAAAATTTTAAAGGTTAAGTTGAGCCTAATTGCTCAATGTTGAGAAACCAGCTTTCTCTGCTTCTGAAATGGGGAAAGCCCAAGGCGGACTGACTAAGGAGGCTGTGAAACAAAATAGCTATTATCTTACAGATTAATTTTATGTTGCATTCTTTGAATGGACCCTGAAATTCTTGGAATAAAAGCATTTTGGTTTCTTCCTTTGATTTTACTGCAAGTTCGTGGTGGTCATTTTGCATTGGGAAATTTTTAGAGAAAAATAAAGTCAGATGTCAAAAGAATAAAAGTAAATTTACATTGTTTTCTTTGTGATAACTTTAACTGACTTTTAACAAGGGTGAGAGAAATAGGGATGAAAATGAGAATTTAAGTGAATGAATTTTATACTCTGTTGTCATGTAGATATACTGTATTTCAAATGGTTAATAATGGAGTGGACTCTGCTTTGTGGATTTTCTTTCATAACTTGATAGTATTTGATTTTTCCCACATGGTCTATTGAATCAGCTGTGAAAGTGTGATGCTGAGTTTGGAAAAATATCTAACAAAAAAATCTAGAAATGTCTCCTTTTAAGGAAATGGTCCCAGTGAATCGTAAGCAATAGTGACATTTGTGCCGTGGACTTAGCATTTTGTAAATTTAACCTTAGCAGTTGCCATGTCTGTGAGACAATGCCAAGAGTATTGTAACTAATGAGCATGGAGCATCACAACCTTTGGAGGGATCCTGCTTCTGTGGAGGATGTGAGAGCCAGGGTGTTTTGGGAACTGGCACATATGGAATCTGCCTTCCTTATACTCCACTGTTGGGAATGGTTTGGTGCTAGTAGGTAATGCACTGAGACAGTGCTGCCCTAGATAACTATGTAACCTTTCATATTTCCTTTGCAGACTAAGGGGGGTGGGGGTGGAATGCAGCCTTGAGGACCTTTCATATTTCCTTTGCAGACTAAGGGGGTGGGTGAAATGCAGCCTTGAGAAGCATCTTAGTAGGCAGTTGCTTGCTTGCAGAAAGCCGCTATCTTCCATCCTGAGACATCTGCTAAATGTGTATTTCCCTTTAACACTTGCCCTGATCCCTTCTTCCTTGAGGCTCTTCCAGGGCTTTGCATTTCAACTATGGTGCTATGGTAAATATTCCTCCCTCTTAGTAAAGACACCTCACTGTTTGTGATGTTCCGTTCCTTCTTCACACATTGGTTCATTCAGCCCTTGCTTACTCAACGCATGCATGCTCTATTCCTGGCACCATGACCCCATATTCCAAGCAGCCTCAGAATGGAACGCTGCACATTCTTGTTCGTTTCGGCGTAATCATTCCTTTCTGATGGAGGACTTGTTCTTACTTATTTTTCTAGCATCCTAAGACTATAGTAAGTGAAAATAAAGCAGAAACTGCTAATACCGTGGTGTAATTAATGGACAAGGCAATAAGGGCCTGCCAAGGCACCTTCTGCCCTTACTGCCACGCTCAGAGCCAACTCCCGTCACTGCACTGTTCCAGAGTTTCCAGGTTGTGTTCAGGCTGACCGCCCTGATTTCCCCTTCCTGTTTTGTCACTTACAGCTCTGTTTTCACTTGTTTGTCTTGGGGGTGACAGGGGCAGCCCACAGAGAGTCAGTGAGACATCATCAGTTGACAGTTTTGTGTTTTCAGGGTAGTTGTAGAGCAACTTCACGTAAAGTGGATATTTTTTCTTGGAATAGTGGTTTTATTATTTTTAAAAATGACATCCAAGCACCCAGTGGAGAGGGTGCCATTGATGATCGTCTTGTAAGTACGATGTCCCCACCAACCCCTTTTCCCTTAGGGTTTTTAAATTGACTTCAAAGAGAAAATGTTTGTGTTTGTGTCACATGTGGGTGGCACAGGGAGAACTCGGGTGTTAGTGCTCTCTTGCCTTGTGAAAGTTGGGTCTCTTACAGTTTGCCACTGTGTACGCAGACCAGCTTTCAGGAGTCTCCTGTCTGGACCACCCATCTCACCACGGGAGTTCTGGAATTGAATTACATGCATGTGCTGCCATGTCCGGATTTTGTATGGGTTATGGGCGTTCACACGTCTGTCCTCATGCTTGCCTGGCAAGGTCTTTACCCACTGGGTCATCCCCCATCTCCCTCTAACTGGAGTTTAGACAGCTTTTGTAGTAGAAAAGGAACTGTCCGACCAGGGGCCAAAGGTGTGCTTTTGAAGCAAGGCCCCGCTTCATTCACAAAAGCATCACTTCAATTCCTTCCCTCTTACATAAAGCAAATACTCCCACTCCTCGCCGGGTTCTCAGAGCCAACTGAATAGGCTCTGGCCTCTGTGGTGCAACACTCCAAAAAAGAATGTCAGAATGTCTTTAATCCACTAATTTCTGGGTACAGAAAAATGCTTTCCAATCTTCCTTGGTGAGAGAACAGACTCGTTTTGAAGAATTGTGTTGAACATTTTATTCCCGTGTTTCAATGCAGCTCAGCTCTTGTTCACGGCTTAAATAAATTGGCACGTTACAGTTAGCACTTCTCCTTGCCCCTCCCCTCGTGGCATGCTTTGTCCACCTCGCCTCTTGAGTCGAGCATGAAAAATGAATTCGAACATGAGTGGAATCCATTTGGTGACTGGGGCTTTTATTGTAAATAAAATCATTCATTTGTTATGTCCTGTTGTTTTCAGCAGACGGTGTATTGATCTGTGGATTGCTATTCAGCATGGCGCAAGGAACTGTAGCCTAAGAGGAACAGCAGTGTTTTCGGAGGCTTAGAATGTGCTGTGTGATGATGGAGACAAAGCTTGCTCGCTGGCCATACTGTATTATACAAATCATTTGTCAACAGTCTATTGAATCAGTTACTACAAGGAACAGATTCTCTGGGCCAGGAGCATCACACACAGAATGCTATCAGGGCCAAATAATGTTAGGATGATGCATGGGGGACAGCCTTCCAAAGTGTATTTGTGAAGAATTAGATGAGGTAACATAAAGGCCATTTCTGCTGACACGTTACAAACAAAAAGTTTGCTGCTACGGGAACTGTGTGGCCAGACGCAGCCCCAGCAGCTAGGAGAGAAAAGCCTGACAAATGCCTTTTAAGACTAACTTTTACCATTTCCAGTGAGAAACATTCACTTTTTTGGTTTCAGACTATTACCACATTTGCTCCTGAAATAAATGAAAAAATAATAAAAATAACTTCTTCTCTTAACTGTGCTTCTTACAGAATAGATACTATAGATAAAAATGCCCTATTAATCCTTCCATAAAAATCAGAAATATCTGTCACTTCCTGAGTGGGTTTTCATCTTCTGAATTCCTTTAATTGTTCAGGAAACCACAGTTATTAGTGATCTGCTGATCTTTCATTTCTCAGCACTGTTTCTTTTTAAACCTTCCTGTACAAATAAGATGAGCA